TCTCTTATCACCAGATGCTCATTTTCGTGACGCTATGTCTGACGTCAACAGTTTGAATAAGCAATAATAATGATCCCCTTTTCGACTCTCTTTTTTATGTCAAGATTCGTACATATACCAGATGGGTCTCTTCGCTGGACCCAAGAACCAAAATTAAATGATATCTCTGAAAGATAACTAATAGCTATTCTCCAGGGTGGTCCCAAGCCAAATTTTCCCCACGGCCGCATGCGTCGGCCGGCTTTGTTTTTCTATCTGAATTCTGTTTTTTATTGGCGCGTCACCCCCTTATCGTGACATTAATTAATTTTGATAGAATCACAGTCTCGCTTTTTTTTCTTACTGATTTTCCGTCTTTTGTGAAAAGTATCTTTCTTTTGTAAATAAAATAAATTCTTCTTTTTAATGTCGCTCAGTCTATCTTTCGATATAGCTCTTTCTCGCCTTAAGTATTTCCCGTTCTTAATTTCTATAGTTAATTAGTTAGCCAATTACCATAGCTAAATAGTGTCACAAAGGTTTAATTATATATAGTAAAACTACTTACAAGACATTCCTATAGTAAAATCATTAAGAATGCATTTCTAGGCTAAAATCTCTTTTTAGTATATTTCGATGATAATGGTAATGATCAAATTAGCCTTTTCCATACACTGGTGCATTCAGCATTCATTGACCGTTAGCATTGCTCACATTTGAAATTCATTTTTCAGGAATTTAGATTTCTTAAGTTCTATGTTAAACCCACTTTTTTTGTTGCTGCTGAAGTATCCACGATATAGGTTTTGTTATTTGATATAATTCTTTTTGATTGTGTAGCGTCAGTCTGATGAAGGATCGTATTCTTTAAATTTTTTAAGATTTATTCATTTGCAGTCATTCTTAAGCAGTCATCTGAGAAGACGGTTGTATATAGATAATAGTTTAGACATTTCTGAACGAGTTGGATGCTATACATGACATCCACATGAAAGTTTGTATCTGACGTGGCTTTTTAAAAACATGACTCGATTTTTTTCATTTCAATGTTGTGGTTTTATAGCATATTGTGGTGTTAAAAAAAAGTAGTCTAAGGGCAGCGTATGCTCTGTTCAATTTCTTTATCTCCCATATTGTTGGGGCGCACCCACCTTCTAACTAGAAATGGACTGGTCCCTCTTATATAAGTCAGCTCTAGAGAGAGGACGGCGGAGCGAGAGACAGAGCGTCAGCGACAGCAGTCCAGATAAGCTTACCCGTTACATACCATTGGACTATAGACTTTGGATATTGTTTCGTACTAACCAACCTTCGTTCTACTAATCACTCTATTGTTAATTGCTTTTATGAATATACCAGTATTTTCCTCTACAACTGTGTTTGTCTTGATTCATACACCGACACGCGGGAAACTCACAACATCTCAACACATATAGGGAACAAAAAAGTTTTTAAAAAAATTAAAAAATTGTCCCTACACTTCGGCTAATAGTTAAAAACAGAGACTTCCTGGTCGTTCATGTTAAATAAACGTTTTCTATGGCAATTAATTTAATAATATAAAACCATTTTCTGGGTTTACGGCCACATCACGCGGAAACACTGGTCCCCGTACGATTACCGAAATTAACTAACGTCAAGCCTGGCCAGTACCTTGATGAATGACCGCTTGGGAATAACAGACATTGTAAGCTTGGATGGTGTAAGGGATAATCGCTCGGGATCATTAAATTCCAATTATGCACAAATACCCTTAAGAAAGCTATAAATCCACCTCTTTGTATTTTTACCCCCGCCAGCCATGGGTCAATAAGTAAGATTTGTATCACTATTATCGTAAAAAAAATTCTTACAATCTAAAAATATTTTCTGGCTGTAAATAACCTGCAAAGGGTTGATAAACTGTAAAAAACGAATCAATTAAATCAATCATATTAATTTTATTTCCAGTTCACTTCACTGTATGGCGGTACAATACAAAAAATAAAAATAAAAATATAAGATGAAAAAAAAATATCCAAAATTTAATAATCAATCAACTAGTTGTTAATTACAACTTTTATTTGTTTATCATGAAATATCATGAAATTTGACTCTTATTTATGAAGACAATAAAAACAAACATTTATTAGGCAATAAAAAATTTTTAAAATTTTTGTTTTTTTCTTTTTCATTTCTCTGCTTATTTTATTGCTCAATTCGTCGGGTAGCCATTTTCTTGACGTGAGAAACACGCATTGAGCTGCGAAAATGTTCAACGCATCAAAATTATAATAATGCTTACTGTATTTTATAAAGTTCAATGTATCATCATTATAATAACGTTCATAAAGATATATATATATATATATATATATATATATATATATATATATATATATATATATGGACAAGGTTCTTTCCTCTACTCAAAAATTTCCTCCTTCTGCATTTCATGTCGAAAGAGTGAGTTGCAGACATCAGTCGTCTGCAATCCGTGAGACAATTTACTGGTGTTCATGATAACAGTTATTAGTACTTCTTTTAAGTGATTTGTCCGTGATGTGGGCGATCATGACTCCCCATAATGAATATGTTAGTTTTATTTTTTTTTAAATAGCTATTACTTAAGGAAACATTTTTGGCAAAGTCTACAAAAACTCGCTATTTCATTTCTTCAAAGGAAGGAACACTTATATTAGAGAAGGAAAAAATTCTCCAACGCTGGAGCGAGTATATTGAAGATCTCTTCCCCGACGAAAGGGGACAACCAACAATACACAGAACTACCGACAGACCTGGAATTCTGAAAACCGAAGTAAAAGCCGCACTGGCCAAATTGAACAGAAACAAGGCAGATGGGCCAGGCGGAATTGTAATGGAAATGCTGACTGGCTTAGATGACTTTGGCATAGACAAGATCACCGAAATAACAAATGAAATCTACAACAGCAGGTATATACCGAAATACCTCAGCAGATCTCTCTTCATAGCAATGCCGAAGAAACCAGGCACAAACAAATGTGAACTCCACCGAACAATAAGCCTAATGAGCCACGTGACAAAACTCATCATCCGTATCCTTGTTGAATAGAGGGCGCAGCAGAATCAGGCCAGAGATAGGATGAGAACAGTGCGGGTTCGTTAAAGACACCGGAACAAAGAACGCGATATTCATGCTTAGAATGCTATCAGAAAGAGTGATACAGATGTAAATGGACGTGTATCTCTGTTTCATAGACAAGGCAAAGGCTTTCGACAATGTACGCCACAAGGATCCGCTGGAACTACTCAGCAACCTAGACATATTCGGGAAAGATATCAGAATAATCAAGAACATATACTGGCAGCCTGCATGCGCATAGGGAACGAATGCAGTGAATATACAAAAATAGAAAGGGGCGTAAGGCAAGGATGCGTCTTCTCACCCGACCTGTTCAATCTATACAGCGAGGCAATTCCGAGAGAGTTGAAAACCCTACCGGGATTTAGCGTAGGCGGCCACAATCTCAATAACATAAAATACACAGATGACACAGTACTGATAGCAGACACAGAAAAGAAACGACAAAATCTGCTACAGAAGATAGCGACGGGGTGTGAGAACAAAGGACTAAGTATAAACTACAAGAAAACAGAATTCATGGTCATCAGTAAATGGATGAACCCGAAATGCAGGCCGAGAACACTAAAATCAAGCAGACGCAGAAATTTAAATATCTGGGAAGCATTTTGTCATCGACATCGACATGCGACATCGAGATCCCTAGACGTATTGGGATGGCCAAGGACGCATCCCAAAAGCTGGGCAGAGTATTGCGAGAGAGGAGGATTACTTTGGCGACAAAGAGAAAGATACTAAGCTGTTACGTGACATCCGTCCTTCTTTACGACAGCAAATGCTGGACGATTTCCTCAAGGATGAAGAAGAGACTCAAGGCGACGTAGATGTCGTTCTACAAAAGGTTGCTAAGAATTTCGTGGACTAAGAGTGTGAGCAACGATGGGGTCTTGGAGAGAGGCTCACGCTTAACATCAGGAAGAGGCAGCTGAAGTTTCTGGGACACATAATGAGGAAGGATGGCCTTGAGAATCTAATACTCACGGGTCGAATAGAGGGAAAGAGAGAACAAGGGAAAGCGGCGCGTGACATTCCTGACGGGCTTGAGCAGGTGGATGACAGATCGTGGTCTGGGGAAGATAGCAAAGGGAATGAACTTGTTGAAAGCTACAAAGGATAGAGGTGGGTAGAGAGCCATGAAGGCCTATGCCCTGAAAGGAAATGGCACATAAAAAGAAAAAAAATTTAATAATTTCTTATTTTTCAGAAACTTAATAATGTTTAACTTAAATCAAAATTAAATTAAATTAAAATTAGATTATAATATATTAATTTTTTATTACCTTATATGTTTCTCAATTTTCTAAATAAATTAAATATATAATTTTTTAAGTCGATACAATTATAAATATAAATATTAAAAATATGACTAAACATGTGAATGCCCCTTTTTAAATAATCGTAATTCAAATTTATATATAAATAAGTATTAAATAAAAAATTGAAAATAAAAATGGCAAATATATTGCTACATACAAACGATATGTTAGAACATAGACACTACCACAAATTTCTACTTGCAAAAAGAAGTTTGTATCAACAGACAGATACCCCAGCCCAAACCTTGACTTTAACGACTTGATAGCTACAATACGTTACATACATGAGTTTTCTAAATAAGTTAAATCTTAACACCCCTAAATTAAAGAAGATGGAATTTTCCTTAAACCCAATATCTCAAAATATCAAATTTGTCTGGACTTATCAATTAAGTGAATCAATTTCTAAAAAAGTTATTGTTAGCATTGCTTGATAATGGAACGGAACTTTGTATTTTAAGTTTAATTTATATGATTGAATTTAAGTTTCAGTTTTGAAATGTGGGTATTTCGGTGTTGCTATGATTATATATTTTTTAAAAAACAATTATATTGTGCTCTAGTGTTGTATCAAGCACTGCTTTTAAAAATAAAAATAAATTCTAGGAACACTGAATTATAAATCTCATTGTTCTTTCCGATAGATAGATAGATAGATAGATAGATAGATGGAAACAGCCTGAGACAGATATGAACATACTGAGATAGATAGATAGATAGATAGATAGATAGATAGATAGATAGATAGATAGAAACAGATTGAGAGATAGAAAAAGACTTAGATAGATAGATAGATAGATAGATAGATAGATAGATAGATAGATATAAATGGCTGAACACAACTAAAAATTCCATGCGTTCTCATGCAAACATCAAGCGGTAAGCAAGTTATTTGACTGAACTAAACACTATACTTCGAGAAAAGAGTAAATACTTCGTCCTTGGAACAGTCCTATTAATCTTTTTTCGTTATGAATTAATTGTATTATTTTTTTTTATTTATTTATGTTTTTTTTTTTTGACCGGTGAAATTTCCTATCGTCTTCGAGTGTACTTGAATCGAGTGATATTGGTGTGTAGCCATTTTTAATACAAATTTACTATGTCAGCATAAACATTTCGATTGCAGATCTATCGACTTGTCCACTTGTTGAAGTGGCGAAATTTTGAGGAACTGCTTGACGAAGTTGGTTGCGTTCACTTTCGCACAAATACCACTGGGAATTAAATGAACCCCTCTCTTTTCGCCACAGCCATGGTTTAAATAGCATAGATTGGATTCTCTAGACTTCGTTCACAACCAACTTAGGTGAAGGAAAACTCTGAATTCAAAATTAGTTGGGCATAGGAGTTCTACTCTTGTAAATAAAACTTCTTGCTACGGTAATCACAGCAGCAACTCCTAGCGTGGCTTACGGCCATATTACCTTTGCAATGAAGTTAAGCAACGCCAAGCCTGGTCAAAACGTAGATGGTTAACCTCGTGGAAATACCAGATGTTGTAAGCTTGGATGTGCGGGTGGTGTAATGGATAATGACTCGGAATTGTTAATAGGAGAGCCGAATTCCAATTCCAGTCAGGTTCATTATATTCACTTAGGCGCAAATATCCTTGGGAAAGGTAGGAATCTACCTCTTCATCTCCCCCAGCTATGGATTAATTAACAAGACTTGTATCACTAAAAGCATTAATATCTCAAAAAAATAAATTTTAAAAATTATATAACTTGAAGAGATGTTGATATGCTGCTAAACAAAACCAACCAACCAACTCCCAGCATAGTGAATTTGTGGCGCTATACTTCACAGAGGA